GTTGGGTGGTGATATAAATTTGATATATAAATAAATAAATAAATAAATTATATATGTGTGTGTGTGTGTGTGTGTGTGTGTATATATATTTGTAAATTAAAAGAAAGGTCACAAAAGTATGTCTGACATTAACCTGTGACATTTCAGAATATGTTTAAGATAAAAAAGAGTTGAGACAAAGCATTAAGAAGGCAGAAACCGAAAAAGAGAATGGATAGGAGGGCTTGAGATGCAATTGGTCAGCTTAGGCCAAATAATTTATAAGTAGTCTGAAGTGGAACTGGAGCAGGGATTGGTGGAATAGTTGAAAGGGGAGGAAAGATAAATTCCCTGTTCTCCAGGGCTGCTTCCCAGGTAGTGTCCCCGTTTTGCATTGCTTGGGCTGGGGAGTTGGTGATCTATTATACAAAGTGGGGCAGAAGTGGGGAATTTGCCTCCACTTCAGAAATTCTCTCAAAACATATATCCCTTGAGGCCTGGAAAACTCAATAACCTTCCACATAAATGGAGAAAACGCGTAACAGAAATAAATTCCAACTCCCAGAAGCCTTTTTTGAGGAGACTGGAATGCACCGCAGCATCGTGCTGCAGGTTGTGGCTGTGCTTTAACAACAAGAACAGCCACAACAAATCTTTGAAATGTGTCAAGTGGAAGGATGTCACACATCACAACCTACACAAATGAATGTGTTTGGGGAGGACCATAATAGAGGAACCAAGTGGAAAATTAAAATATTTCTTGTCTTACTCTAATGGAAAGAAGTCTCCAGCCATTATTCTCGATGCGTTTATACCAGTTGCTACTACTTTCACTGAAGCTCCCATTCTGCAGCTTTCTGGGACTTGGTTTCGTTGCAGTCTTTGTGTAGTTTTTGGGACTATTTGCACAAATATCCACAATAGGCCGGTGAGTAAATATTTTATAATATATGCTCGGAGGAAACTTTTCCTGTAAAGCAGTATCCAATTTAAAAGTAAGAAAACAGAAAACATGTTCAAATAAACATGTCAAACAAATAAAAACACTGCTGTTTGTTTTTACAAATCCTTAGGAATATTCTCTGTAATTTTCTATTGATTAACAGAGTGAAAAGATTCTAAAACAGATTGGAGGCAGACTGGAATGTATTCTTCTTAAAAGGCACGTAGGTGGGCCCTGAGAGAAATCTTTCTAATTTCATTTTGAAAGCTGAAAGCTCTCTGTTATTTGCATAAAGGCCAAAACAGACTTTTATGTTTGTTAAGCATGAAGCAATCCTGAATCATATATATAAGGAAGGAGGTAATTGAAATTAAGACAAGGCCTAACTGCTCTTAAACAAATATTCTGGCCTTCAAAATCTTTTCAATCTTCCCCCAGCAATGCATATAATAAAATGGGAACAATTATTAAAATAATAAAAGTCAAATAAAAACCACCACAAAAATATAATTCAGCAAATAGCCAATAAAAACGAATGGCGCTTTCTTGGCGGCCTTCACAGAAGGAATCTGATGGATCCCTTCCCATGAACTTCTCAACCACGGCAGCTGGGGCATGCCTTTTTACAAACATATTGCAAGAGCATGTATTGTTCCAATGAATGCCAAAGCGTTTGAGTTCTCAAAAAACACAATCTACTTTCTAATATTGAGAGCCAGTTTGGTGTAGTGGTTAAGGCAGTGTTGTCCAAACTTGACCACTTTAAGATGAGTGGACTTCAACTCCCAGAATTC